ACCCAGATCCAACAATGACAAATAAGCAGCGTCAAAACAGAAATCAATTGGATGCATTATCAACAATTAGTGAACATGAAAACAACAAAACATATGACATATGACAGGACATTTCAAACAACTTGTTTTCTAGAGCAACTATAAATGCCATTCATTGACTCGATCAAAAACTACACCAATTACTTGCAATGCATTCATATTTGGCATCCAAATTTGACATACATATCCAGTTCAACAACAAGAAGCGTCAAACAAGTGGTATCATGATTACTATTCACAACAACAAGCAAATTGGACAACAGCGCTGTCGCAGCTATTATGCTTCAAACTCGGAATCAGAAACGGTGCAACTGAAAAAAAGTACACAAAGTCGACGAGTATAGTTTATTGAATCATTCAACACCAATATCGTGTACTTGAAAATCAATGACATCAATTCCACCATCTACCAGAAACATGTTTGTTGCGGTGTGTTATTTGATGTGAATTTTGCACCAGTATGTTCATGTCTGATACAATTCATGGCTGTTATTGGACTTTGTACGACTGAACCATTGTTCAAATGTGATGATGTTTATGCCACTGTTGTAAATCGAATGGGTGTATATTGAAATACACGATATTGTTGTAATAGATTGTAGTATGTCTTGTATGCAAAATACGACAATCTCTCGAGTTTGAATTCATTGTAAATATACACCAGACATTCATCAAACTGAACCTTTTAGTATTTTTGCTTGCTTGAAATAGCTCCAGCAAACAAACAAGCGTTTATGCAATGCACATTGTGTATGCTACACCAACAACATCATTGATGGTCAATACACACAAGTATTGTTGATGTACACTTTGAGTTCCAAGGCTGTATTTTTTGTAGCGGGAAAGTCGTGGGAAAGCTGCACATTGAGTTGCACTGTTTTGAGTTCCACTTTAAACATCTGTTCAGCAATCAGTCCATACTTTTGACAAGCTCATGTATGAATGATGGTTTATCAGTGTTTTTATCAAGACACGGTAAATTGGTTCATGATCAATGATTTGAATTGGTTTCAATGTTACTGCATTCATGACATTGAGTGTATCTGAAACAGCAACATCATCACTTGATTCGAGTTTCAAACGATAATTATTGACTGTGTTGGGTCAAACTGCAGATTCACTGCTATTGGATTCAGACTCTGTAGCAAGACTTTCTGTGTGATGAAACAGCATCTGAAACTGCACCAATCGTTTGATTTCCAATAATATGAGCATTGTCCATAATAATATCATCAGCGGTTTGTGGTTCAGCATTTACCATTATACGAATCCAGTGAATATATTGATTGTAGGTTTGTAAACAGAGGCTACAAACCAGCAGTGACATCGTTTGCAGACTTTTGATTTTGAAAGCATTCATAATTTCTGATATGTTACTATCATACAGCAAGGCACATTGCAGTTGCTCAATTTGTCGACTTTTATTGGCAACCTATTATGTACCAGCCACAAATCTGATATTGCAGACTTGTAGATGCTTAAAAATGGGTTTTCAAATTGACTTTTGAATTTGAGGATCGTGAACATATGATGGCATATTGATGGTTGTCATTATTGTCAAGTGTGTTTACAGTTGATTGAAGATGTGAATGAATGAATCAATATTCGATTGTGTTGTTTATTAACAAGTGAGTGAGTGTGTTTATAAAATAGGAGACAAGAAAGTCATGTGAATTCCAGTTCAAACGTCATTGTTGTTGGTTTTTGATTGTTAAACTATTCAGAAATGTCTCACATTCACACACTACTAATGTCTCACACAATGCAAGTCAACACTCTCACACTAGTAATGTCTCACATTAATGAGACATTAATTCCGGTGTAAATTTGACTAATTTCCAAATATTTAAATCGTGTGAATTGTCTTGAAATATCCCAAAATTTTGTTATTTTGACTCGATTAAAAAGTCGATTTTTGTTTTACAATTTGACAAATAAATTGCTTTTTTACTCTTTTTCTTTTCATAAAATGCCAAAACGATTCCTTAATGTTGAATATGGCACTATTTCTACTGAAATCGATGTGACTGACTTTGAAGACCTGAGTGACGTTCAGGATGCTATCAAGTCTGAGTATGATCCTGCTATGGCTGACATTGATGCTCCTCAACTCCAACTCTACACCAACAGTAACAAGGACCAACTAATCAACACCTGGGCTTTACTCCACTCTCTTCCTCAATAATACTTTACTCAACATGGATATTGCGTTGATATAGGTGTTTCCCCTCCACCTTCAAGACAGCCTACTCAAACTGACCTAGGTCCAACATCTGCAGCAGCCTCACCCGCACTACTGGATTTTTGGACTGCTTTCACAAACTACCCTAACCCTCTTGAAGGAAACACTGTTGTCCAACTTCCAGCAGACGTATTCATCCTTGGAAACCATTCAATTGGATCATCCATTTACATCCGTCCT